TCTAAGTCAGAAAGATGACAGCTGGTACAGGAGTGGGTGGTGCTGATAAAGTGCTTGAGGGCACAGGATGAACTCTGAGACATTTCTGGGCATCTATGCCATTAGAGACATTTGTCCCCTGTACTACCTCCTCACAATTTACCTCCCCTGTGTCCCTTCTGTTCCCAATCACTTGTCCTGCCCTGCCTGATTCTGCTCCTGGAGGCTGACTTTGCTCTCAGCACTGAGACCATGACGGAACACTGGCAGACTCCAACAGGAGTCAGGGCAGGAAGACAGACAGCAAGTGGTGACCCCCCGGAGCTCTGTCTGGCAGCAACTAAGTCTCTCTAAGAAGGCAGCCTCCCACAGGGAGCCAGCTCCTCACCCCTTTGGCCTTTGGTACCAGGAATAGCTTTTCATGATGGCTTTTCTTGGGACATTTCCATATCCCCTAATGACTCCTTTAACACTGCCCTACTTCTAAGAAAGTCCTTCATGGAACTCTCTGTCTGGAAATAGTCCGAGACATCCATCACATTGAAAGGAACCACTTAAGGTTCTGCCTCACTTCCCCCCCTCCCCTCCCCTAGGCTGTGAGAGATGTACAGGGGCAGCAAACATGTCTTGTAAAGTTTTATATTCCCAGCCCTCGGCATGGTATACTGAACTATGTTTGAGTGAACTGGGGAGTTGGGACACTTTATTGAGATGATCTTAGACCTAAGTGTTAAAGGATATTGCAGCTTATGTGGATGACACATCATTGTACTTGGATTTTATTTTCCAGGGACAAGGTCCAGGACACATAGATCACACATTGTATAATATCTAGGGCGGTGTGACCCTACATTAGGCTCTGAATCACACTCTTTTAATGATGATGAGGGCTTTGTATCATAGTGATGATGATGACCACAGTGACAGAATGTTGTTACTGAGTCACAGAAGGTTGGATATTAACTCTGTTCTTCTGACTTATTGCAAGATAATATTAACCTTGGGGGTCAGTCTCTTACAGTGCCATGTTTTAATTTGAGCAGCAGAATCGGACAAGTTCCGACAAATTAATTTATCTGTGGAATCACCATTCCTATTAAGATGGACATGATGGCTTCCTTTTTTTTTAAAAAAAAAAAAGATTGTTATTTTTCTTGGTCTTTTTGAGATAGGGTCTCCCTGTAGCCCCAGCTGGACTGGAACTCACTATGTAGACCAGGCCTGCCTTGAACTCACAGAGATCTTCCTGGTCCTGTCTCCCACGCCAGGCTTATTTTTGTGATTTTTAATTATTTGTATTTGTGGGTGTCTGTGTATGGGTATATGCACCTGAATGTAGGTGCCTATGGAAGTCAGAGATGTTGAATCCCCCTTAAGCTGGAGTTACAAGTGGTTGTAAGCCACTGGATGTGGGTGCTGGGTACCGAACTGGGATTCTTGGCAAGAGCAATAGGTATTCTTAACCACTGTGCCATCTTTCCGGTCTCAATTTCTTTTAAAAAATTACATTTATTTTTAATTTGTGTCTTTGGGGGGTTACAGGTAGAGGTCAGACAACAAATTTCAGGAGTTGGTTTTCTTCTTCAACCTTGTGGGTTCTGGAGATCAAACTTAAGTCGTCAGGCTTGACAACAGGTATCTTTACCTGATGAGCCATCTTGCCATCCCTAAACACTTCTTTATTAAAATTTTAAAAGATTTATTTTATGTATATGAGCATTTTGCCTGTGTATATGTAGGTACACCATGTGCATGCAGTGCTCATGGAGGCCAGAAGAGGGGGCATTGGATTCCTGGGAACTGGAGTTACTAACTGTTGTTAGCCACCATGTGGGTGCTAGGAGCCAGACCCAGGTTCTCTGCAAGAGCAGCCATTGTTCCTAACCCTTGAGTAGGACCCCAGGTCCCACTTTGGTTTTGAGACAAAGTCTCTCATTAGCTTGGAGCTCACTGAGAAGACTAACTGGCTGGCCAGCAAGCCCCAGGGATTGGCCTGTCTCCACCTTCCAGTGCTAGGGTTACCAGAACCCTCTTGTTTTTTTTTTCCCCCTACTGAGCTATCTCCCCAGCTCAAGACAAAACACTTGTATCACTTCAGTGTCTTCTCTTTGCCCCTTCCCATTCCAGTGCCCACCCAGCACCTCCAATCGCACCACCCTTGTGATCGAGTGTTCAGTGAACTCCGTGTCTCCCTCATCCAATCATGTTGACCCTTGCCTCTGCTTCTTTTCTCGTGCTGTTGTCTGTGGGGTACTTACATTTCCTCTTTTACCTGGTTGACTCCCCCTCTTCCCTTGAAATCCCTCTGATCAAAATGGATCCATGCAAACTCGATACAAGAGCCTTCCACAAAGCCCTATATTGTGTTATCTGCATCTTTATCATGTGTCTTCTGTTTTACACCATTTTTGTGAAATTCCCTCCCCTCCCCTTAAAACTGTCTCAAGGAGCGTATAGTTTGATCATAGTCTAATTTGAATGTCAGACTTTAGCACGATGCCTAACATACAATATACTTATCATTTAAATAAATAAGTGAATTGCATCAATTTCTTTTCCAGTACACTAAGCCTTTACCATTGTATTACATAGTAGGACATTTTGCAAGAAACAGAGATTCGGCTATGTGGGAGGAGTCATGAAGACACGTGCCCTGTAGGAGGTCCTGACCCAGCTTCTCCCCACACGACCTCTCCGCCTGCCTTGCAGCTCCTCTGCCTGCACAGTTCACTTCTCTGTTTTTGATGGCTTCCTCTGTCACCTCCCATTTCAATTTCCTTCTAACTTTAGCTTGCGATTTGCCTCAGCTTCCTCTTGTCTTGACTTTACCTCATGGCTTGAGCTGATACTTGCAAAGGTACTTATCTACCAAGCTTACCTAAACTTTGCAGATCCACATCACATAGCCACATCTCAGGCCAGAGACCAGCCTTTGTGCACACGTGCCCAGTATCCTTGGTCCAATGAGCTAAGGATGTGTCTTATAAAATGAGAGCAGAGCCTGATAGATGAGGTGGTCGCTGAAATAGTAGAGGGTGCTCTGAGGCCTCTCTTATCCAATTATTGAGCAAAACCCCTTGCATTTTTTACATTTTATTTTATCGTTTTTATTATATGTGTATCAGTGTATTGCCTGCATGCATAAAAGTGCACCCATGTCATGCAATGCCTATGGAGGTCAGAAAAGGGTGTTGGATCCCCTGGAACTGGAGTTACGGATGGTTGTTAGCTGCTATGTTGGTGCTGGGAATCGAACCTGGGTCCTCTGTAATAGCAGCCAGTACTCTTAACCACTGAGCCATCTCTCCAGTCCCACCCCTTTCATTTTTTAACCCCTCTTTGTTCCTGAATAGTTTAAATTCTCCATCCTTCATCCCAGAAAAGTCACTTCTCTTTTCTCTGCTCAGGATTTATAGAATTAGGGAGTGCTGGTGTGGGGAAGGAAACTTGGGGTTTATTTGCTTGTTTTTAAAATATTTTATTTTTATTTTATGTATAGGAGTGTATCGGCTGCCTGTGTGTAAGTGCACCTGTGTCATGCAATGCCCAAGGAGGACAGAAGAGGGCATCAGATCCCCTGGAATTGGAGTTAAGGATGGTTGTTAGTCACCATGTGGGTTCTGGGAATAGAACTTGGGTGTTCTGCAAGAGCAGTCAGTTCTTTTAACCACTGTTCCATGAAGAAAAGTCAAGATTGTCCAGCACTTTCTTTGAATATTGGCTCACATGAAGAACATACTTCTCAGCAGTCTGGTTTGCTTGGCAGGGTCTCTGGTCCTCTGTGCCAATGGGTCCCTGCAGGGCTCAGGTCCTCTAAACTGGAGGCTATGATGCAAATCATGAGCCCTTTGATATTGTTTGCAAACTTGAGTCAGTGTTATGTGAGTGTGTTTGTATGTTCATAAGTGTGTTTTCTGAGTGTGTCCATAGCTTTCATCAGATCCTTAGAAACAAATATGGTCTGAAAGAAAAAAACATTGGATAAAGACATAATTTGAAGGGAGACCAATTGAGCGAGCTTCTCTGAGGCAAATCCATTTGTGTTCTTCCAACTTAAACATGCTCTACCCTGCTTAGGAAGATGGAAGAAAGTGCTTGATAGGCAAAGCTGAAGGGGTCTTGCTGACTAATTAGGGGCTTCATCCTTTCATCAATTGTAGTGAGTGCACTGCTCTCCGGAGGGAGGTTGACCATGAGGTTGACCATGGGGAAGGCTGTGAGTATTGAGGGGAAAGATGATAACAGAAAGCCTCCTCCTCCTCCTCCTCCTCCTCCATCTCCTCCTTTTATTTTTGGCTATTTTGCAGTCGCTTCCTCCTCCTCCTCCTCCTCCTCCTCCTCCGTCTCCTCCTTTTATTTTTGGCTCAATTTTGCAGTTCATTTAAAAGTTCCCTTGAGAAGTATATTAAAGTCAAGCAAGCACAAACAAGAACCAGAGAACTATAACTTGCCCAAGGCCACACAACTTGCTCAGTAGAGACTATAGCCTTCCTCTCCCTCCCCTGCTCTGCTTCTTAGAATCAACATCTTACCAATTAGTCTATTATTTATTGACTCAATCATAAAAGGCCACCTCTCATCTTTTTAAAAAATTTTAAAGTATTTGCCTAAGGACAATCGCTGTGTTACCCATTCATCTATTAATGGCCAACGTTTCTACTGAATATGAGGAACTGGTTTTAAATTTTTTTTCACTTCTCTCATAAGGAAATGGATTCTTAGAGCTTTTAAAGAACTTGCCCAAAGATGCCCGGCTTTTCTGTAACTCGGCATGGGAAAGCCCCCGTTTCCACGGCGCTTTCTTAGTGAGTGATTCCTCTCACTTCTGCACATCACTCTGCGCATGGAAACTGGCTCACACCTTGGGACAGAACTCTAGCATCCCTGACTCGCCTGTTTCATCTGAACTGGGTCCAGGTGGAGCCGGACGCCGCCCCCTGGCGGCAGGTGGGAGCCCGCGCAGTGCATGCTAATAAGCGCGCTGCTCCACTCACTGATTGGCTGGCGCGAATTCCAGCTGCTTTGCATGTCGGCTGGTGAGAGGGGAGAGTCGAGGGGGCAGCAGGAGGCAGCCCGGGCCCAGCACGCTCCGGGTCCACGCCCAGGCTGGGGCGGGCCAGGCTGGCTTGTGAGCTCCCATTCGTGTCGTGGTCGTGAATTCAACCGGGTCCAGGATGACGATCCGACACCAAGGCCAGCAGTACAGGCCGAGGATGGCTTTCCTCCAAAAGGTACCCCGGGTATCCCCACCTGGACAGGTGGCAGGTGGGCGGGGATCCGGTGTAGGGAGCGTCCGAGGGAAGGCTGGCCAGGGGCAGAGTAAATCCCTCTGGGTCAGTTTGCGCTGCCTGATTGTTTTAAATGACTTCTTTGCTCTATGTGTTGCTTTAAAAAACTGTATTGATTGGTTTTTTGGCGTAAACTGTTTATAGCAGAGAATGTGAAGCCAGCTGTGATGGTCTGTTGGAGGCTGAAAACAACCTGTTACTCAGAGAGGAGGGCGCCTGAGGCTGCGCGGGGTTTGAGAGAGCCTGCTGATATTGTTACAGGATGCCAGATGTTAAATGAACGGTGGTGTTTTTTTTTTGTTGTTGTTGTTGCCATTTTTCTGATACCAAACTGCAGAATTTTAAAATGAGTGAGTGAGTGTGTGTGTGTGTGTGTGTGTGTGTGTGTGTGTGTGTATACAAAGACCAGGAAAATGTGACCCCGTGTGATCAAGGACCACCTTGGTTTTGGTGCCCTAAGATCCCTCCTTTTAAAGGTGTGTGTATCCCTGTATAATCAGAACCTTTTTTCTGTCACAAATGCTTTCTCAGACCAAATGACCAGGTGCATAGGGAGCCCATCCTGGTCGGACATGTGGGAAGTGGAATGCACTTGTGGGGTCTTATGTTTGGGGACAATGTAGTTCATTTTGTTCTGGGCTTTTGAGGTAGACAGAGTGGGAAGAGATTTGCACTGGATTAGGTTCCAGGTCACTCATCTGCCCTTCCACTGGTCCACAGCCACTTTTCAGTGTCGAGTGCATCTTCTTAGGCTTATCCTATTGAGGGAATTAGCTGAATGCTTTGTGACAAGCCGACCCTGTTCTGAACTCCCAGAGCTGAGCAAGTAGGTGCAGATGGTGACTGACTGTTCTAATCTGCAAGATTTCAAAACCTGGATGGTCGTGGGCACATCAGGACAATGATCACACCCTGTTACCTCCTTTAAGAAGCCAGGGCTTCATACAGGGAGAGGAAGACGTGTGAGGGTCATGCAGAAAACAGAAAGGAACGTTGTGTCACTCAGAAAGAAGCACGGGTAGAGTAAGTCCGAGCTCTAAAAGCATAAGAAACTGGTAACTCTAGTGTTCAACAGTCAAACATCACTTTCCAGGTTGTGTCTGAGGACTGCCTTCTCCTAGGCACGGTGGCTTTGGCTTGGAGGCTTACAGGGTAACTGTCTGGAGATATTCAGCAAGCTTATGAGTCTGAAGCATCCTTTCCCTTGGCTTCCTAAATGGTGTCTTGCTTTCCAGCCTCCTCACCTCCACCCTAGCCCCCTCACCTCCACTTCAACCCTCACCTCTACCTCAGCCCCTCACCTTCACCCCATCCCGCACCTTCACCCTAGCCCTCCTCACCTCTACTCAGCCCCCTTTGACCACAGCCCCTCAGCTCTACCCCAGCCTCACTCACTTCCATCCCAGCCCCCCTTTACCTCCTTCACAGCCTCCACCTCTACTCCAGTCTCCCTTCCTCTATATAGCCTCTGCTCTTATCCCATGTCTTTCTCCTCATAGCCTCCCCCTTCCTCCATGACATCCTTTACCAACCTGAGTGACCTCCTCCATCCAATCCTCTCCTGTCCGTTGGCTGCCCATGTTCATAGGATGCTGTCTACCCTGTTCAGCCTGGCTGCTACTCCCATTGTCTCCCTGGCTCTACCTCCCACCTGCCTTCCACTCCTGCCCTCTTCAAAGCAGAACAAAGCAGACAAGGCACTCCTAGCTCTCACTCAAGAGCTTTCTCACCTCTCTAGGAACACTATGCTCTTTCGGGCCCCAGGATGCCTCCATGAACACCTCCCTCTCCCCTCTGCCAACCTTTGCTGACCCCATGAACAGAACAACCTCCCTGTCTGAGCCTATGGACTCTGCACCCCACCCCAGCATTGCTTCCTGCACTGCTTTGTGATGTCTGCCTCACCTCTGTGTATGCTGGGGTCCTGGGTTGGGGCACAGAGCCCCTTAGATCAGGAGACTGAACAGAGCTCTTCAGAACTTCAAGAACCTATGTTGGGGAATTCTTAGCAATAACCCAGCTGGACTAGCCCTCCAGCCTTCTAGAGAAGGACCTGGACCAGCAGAATGTGTACCTGGGTGCAGGTGCTGTTCCCCACTCATCTAGTATGTGTGATGATGTGTGCCGTGTGCACAGGGTTGGGCCCTTCCATGTGATACCTGTTTTTCACATGGTGGCTGTGGTCCCAGGAACCTGAGGCTCAGAGTAGTTAAGTGGCTTGCCAGTCATACAGTCCCTCAGTGGAGGATAGGAGTGGCCCTATCTGTGCAAATGTGGTACAGTGAATGGCAGGAGCCTTCCTGTGACATGGGACAGAGTGTAGGTGCTGTGGGAAGGCCTAGCTCAGGGTGCCTGGGGGCCACAGAGCTGAGAACTGAAGGATAAGTGGGAGAGTCCAGGTGCATAGAGAGAAAGATGCTCCAGGCAGAGGGAATAGCATGTGCCGAGGCATCAAAACAAGGCAAGAAGGCCTGAGGAACCTGGTGGGTTTGAGTGCGTGTGGTCCTATGATAGAGTTTGAAGCACGGGGAGAGGGCAGAGAGGTAGGAGGAGACAGCAGAGACAGTAATGAGCCCTTGAAGTATTCCCTGGCAGTTTTTTGCCCCCTGATGAACTACTGTAGACCTTGGAATAGTCAAGTGACAAGGCAGATTGAGAATTAAGAAGACTGCTGGTTGCACAAGAGATATGATGGACTGTCTCTGTTTCCTTGAGCTAAGAGGGTTCACCAAAGGTCCTCCTGTGCCCCCCACAACTCTAGACCCCCAGGAAATGGTGGCTCCTTCCAAGGGCAGGGAGAACAGCTCTGTTCAGAAGGGCCTTTGCTTTTGTGAGTTGAGGCTCTCATTACAAGGCCTCCATCTCAAGCTCAGGGCAGTGTCTGGAGAGAATGCCCTACAGACAAGTTGCTGCTCAGTTGCAATGTCAGAACTTGTTTAGGATGTGGTAGAGCTCTGTGGATGTGGCTCAGTTGATAGCACATTTGCCTAGCATGCATAAAACCCTGGGTGTGTTTCCCAACACCACATACACTGGGCATGGTGGTGCATGCCTGTAATCCCAGCACCCGGGAGGTGGAGGCAGAAGGATCAAGGCCATGTGGCCTACATTGTTGGAGGATGCACCCAGTAAGCTTGTCCCCAGGGTGAGGAGAGTCAGGTTTCACAACGGGGCTTGCTACTGAGTTAAGAAAAATTAGTAATGTTTTGCCAGGAGGATGGGAAACTGAGCACTATTTTAGACTGACAAAACTCAGACGCATATGATAGCCTGTCAACATGGAAGACTCTTTGGGGAGGGTCCCCTGGTCCAGAGAGGGCAGGAGATGGGTGAACTGGAAGGCTGAAGGTAAGTAGGGCCCACAGCTGGAGAACTTCACATGACATGCTGAGGAGCTGATGCTTTCCATGTTTAATGAGATGCCGTTTGATGTTTTTTAAACCAGAGATGAATGAGCAGAGTTAGTTTACATGCTCCAAGGGTGATTCTGATGAGGCTTCTCAATTCTAGCTGTATCTTAAAAAACACTTAAGCCAGTGTCCTTAGTCCTTAGTTTTTCATTTACCAGGCTTGGAGTGGAGCTCAAGCATTCATTCCAATTCTCCTCTCTTTCTCCTCTCTCCTCCTTCCTCCCTCCTCTCTGTCTCCCCTCTTTTCTCCCCTCTCCACCTCCCCTCTCCCGTCCCCTCCCCTTTTCTCCCCCCCCTCCACCACACACACACACACACACACACACACACACACACACACACACACACACACACACACACACATACACACATCCCAGGCTGCCCTGAAAATCAGTACATTATGGAGGATGACCTCAAACTTCTGATCTTCCTGCCTTTGCCTCCCATGTGCTAGCATTATAAGCGTGCATCACCACACCCAGGGCTTTGGGCATGGTGAGCAGGCAGTCTATCAACTGAGCTACATCCCCAGCCCAAGCATTGGTTTTGCTGAAAGAGCTTCCCAGGTGGTTTGAGTATACATCTGAAGTATACTCAACCCCTGGGGACACTGGGCAACAATTGAATATAGTATGGGTATCCAATTGGGTATTTTACTGAGTGCTAACTAGCATCCTTTCATGCACAGGATAGAGCCTCAACAAAGAATGATCCCATTCAAAAGGTCTGTGGAATAACAGTTTTGGCAGTGCATGCCTGTAATCCTACCACTTAGGAGGCCAAGCCCCTGTGCTGGGGAACACCCTGGTGACTGGAAATGACAAGGTGGACACTGTAGTCCAGGACAGGGCTAGAGGACCTTCCACTGGGGCAAAGTTTAGTGAGCAGATGTGAGATGTGTGGGCCATAAAAAGCAGAATCCACTGACGCTGGCCACTGCTGTCCTTGGCTGGGGTTGTCTGCAATGTCTTGCTGGTTCGTGAGCAGGGTGGAGAGAACAGATTTCGGGGTAAGACCGCCATGTACTGGTTAGGCACAGAGTGCTGGTGTGTCTTTCACACACTGGGTTGAGCTGAGCACAGCTTGTTAGCAAGGTCACACTGTTGTCTGTTAGAAAAACAACTCCGTGGCTCTGGGTCACTCTCTCCATCTTGATGTAGGAAAGTCCTGATTATGATTGTCCCCGGGGGAGGCTTCTGCAGTATAAAGGAAAATTCCAGCCCCAGAGATCTGCTGTGAGTGACAGCTCCTTAATTCAAGGAGCAGTGTGGGCGTGGTGGGTGGGATGTCAGAGCCATCAAAGCCATTGCTTCTGATCTTTCTTGATCCTGGGGTCCCCAGCTTGCCTGCAGTCATGCCCTAGTCTGGCACGTGAGTAGCTAAGATAGGAAACGTGACGTTAACACAGGTCAGACAGGGGCCCAGCTGTGGTCTGGTTTTATGGCATTTATGTGTTGCCTGGGAACAAGATTTTTCATCTTGGGAGGAGCTGGAACTAGTCTGGATAGGAGCAGGGGGGATGGCTTGTAGCTC